ATATCACATTTAAAAAAAAATATATATTTTTATATTGATATATCGCTCAGCCTTAATCTCAACATAACTTTTTTTTTTTTTTTTTTCCGAGCACAGATATTGACTCGTATTACTCGTATAATATTCGTACTCGACAAAAGTGCTTTATCCGTACCGGATACTCGTTTCAGCCGAGTATCCGGCTCAACTCTACAAATATCTTTTGTGTTCTGCAGAAGATAAAGTCAAACAGGTTAGGAACAATATGACTGTGAGAATGATGTCAGAACTATCCCTGAATAGTATGCATTCATAGTTACTTTTAGGTCTACTGTAGTTTCTCTATGGTTGCCCCCCCCAGAACCATGGAAACATGTGATAGATAAGACTGAAAGGGTTGAGGAAACCCCGCTCCAGATACAGCTAAAAGGGTGATGTGCATTTGAGTTTGTAAAACAGCTTGCACATCAACCAAAATCCAAACTTAGTGTGAAATCAGCCTGAGGCTAACATGTCACCTTTATTTTTAGTTGAGTGATGTCAGTGGATGTAGAGGTGGGTCTGTGATGTCAGCAGCCCAGGCCTGTCGCTGAAAGCTCAGGGGACCGTCTCTGCCACCGCACCACATGGTCCCACGTCGGCCCAACGCCCAATGGACCACAGTGATTCAGCAGATGTGCACATACCATCCTGCAGATGGTAAACACACACACACAGAGGCCAATTGACATGGAGTCTGCTCGTTAGATGGACCTAACGATGCCAGATTATCGCCCCTTCGGACCTGGCACAGCAAACCCAGCTCGATTTTTTCATTCCTAAGGCCTTTTGTAAATAAATAACAACAACAAACAGCAACAAGAGCGCTATCCCCAGCGGGGCTTCTTGTGACATATGGGATGTCCCTGCTTTGGCCGCACGGAGCGACACGGACACAGATGGCGGCTCTCAATATGGCCTCCCTCTCTGTCTCGCTCTGAAAGCCCCCCGTTCGCTGCATATTCAAATTAGCACGCTCGTGCTGACAACTGCTACGCTGCGACTGCGTTTCCAATTGTTGAGTGCTGTCAGAGGCTCAGATGGGTTAAACACAATGGCGAACAATTAGACGAACGCTTCTAAGAGCAGCGTTGCATTAAACACGAGTTGTAACGAGCTTGAAAGGACAGAGGAGAGGTTGACTCGCGTCTCTCCACGGGCTTTGACGGAGTCTCCCGAGGCCAGGGGGGTGAGGGTGGGTTAACTAGTAAAAGCGCTGCGTGTTTGCTGAGACGGGGGTTGTCACCCTCAGACGGAGATCTCTAGAGGGCCGCAGACATTACAGCACTGAGCACGGTGTTCGCACCACTTACACACATATGGATGCAGATGGCCTTTAAGTGCATTCGCAATGCAACACACAAAAAATATATTACAAATCAGTGTTGTAGTACTCGAGACTCGGACTCGTCTCGGACTCGGTCTCGAGACCATATTTTAATGGTCTTGGTCTTGTCATGGACTCGTGTGCATTTGGACTCGGAATTGACTCGTACTCGAACATTTTTTTTTTTAGGACTCGGAATTATTCCCGAGTCCACTCGAGTTCAATTCAAAATATTTTTCATGATTATTAATGTATGTTAATAAAATATCTCTTTAAATTGATTGACACGCCCAGTGATTGGTGATTTTCTAGTGCGCAACTGCGCATGACAAATTGTAATAAAATTACTTTTAACACCACCTACTATGTGGCCTTTTTACCCTAAACTGATCATATTTTTTAAACTCTAAGTAAATTCAGTAAAATAAAAAAAGGATTTCTCTAAGTAAATAAAAGTAAATTAGGTAATCAACCCTCATTGGTCTCGGTCTCGACTCGGACTCGACTCTCTATGGACTCGGTCTTGACTCGGACTCGACTCTCTCTGGTCTTGGTCTCAACTCGGACTCGAGTGAGGTGGTCTCGACTACAACACTGTTACAAATACTTCTATGCACATCATAACATATGTTGGTTGGTTGTAAAAAAAGCTTGTTTTCATATGACGTCACGCCACTGCGTTGCCATGGCGCGAAATGCAAATGGAGGGCAGGAAGTGATCTGCTGTATTTAGAAAGCACTATAACAAACTCAAAATGCCTATGTTTTGCGTCGTTAATGGTTACTTAAATCGATCAAACCACGAGGAGTTTACCAAAATTTGTTGTTCAAAAGGGGGGAAATGCAAGAAATTGACCGAAAAACTCGCTTGCAAACCTACGTCTGTGGTCAGGGGGAGCCGAATGGGAAAATGTTCGTATGTGCAGTGATCACTTTGTCAAAGGTGAGTTAATACAACTTAAGTGGCTATGTTTGTGTAACGAATCAGTTTCCGAACTTTGTCAAAGTACGTCTGTAAGACGAGGTAGTTGCTGATATCTACCGCCTCGATGGCAGGAAAATCAAAATTCAGTTGAAAAATCGCTCCCCTTCATAATGTAAGGATCACGTCCAACATATGTGTGATTGTTTGTTTATATCTTTCTCTTGTAATAGCGTGTAAAGTAGTACATTACGGACTTATTGCGCTCTTCACTCCCTGCCCTCCATCTGAATTTTGCGTGTCATCATAATCGTGACTGAAACCCAGCTATTAAGACTTTCCCCGCCATTGGCGAATTTTACGACTTTCCGTGTTTCCACTTATATACAGTAGAGGGCGCTATTACGCATCTTCTGAAAGAGTACTGAATCTCATGATCAAAACACAGGTGAAGAAGAAGCAAAAAACAAGCAATCAAAGCATTGCTTACATAGATATCTATATAAAGGCTGTATCTCGTCCGCGCTGCTGGCCAATGGAGGTCGACGTCAGCGCCTGGCGGCCATCTTGTCACAGGCAGCTCGCTCACTGGTAACATTGTTTTAATGGTGCATGTACTTTTTAAATCACCATAACTTGCTAAATTTTCTACCGATTTTCAAACGGTCTGGTTTGTTATAAACGGCAGAGATGTAGTTATGATACTGCATACTTATGAATAATAAGTGTATAAGTAAATAATCATCTAGAATTATAGCCACGTTAATGACGTTTGTGAGAAACCAAACCGTTTGTAAATCCGTCAAGATTTCAACGAGATAAGAGTATTTCTTACATCAGATACCACAGAGCCCGCCAGAAAGCCTGTCTGTGACAAGATGGCCGCCAGTGATGACAATAAATACTCCGCCGTGAGACTATCTAGCCTTTATATACGTTATAGTCTATGAAAAAAGAAATACGACTTTCGAATGCGAAAAAATATTATAGAGTATTCGTGAAACTTACCCACATTCAAGAATTTATAAAAAAGCATGAATGAAACATTATGTTGTTGTTTTTGTTGTTTTAAAGCAGAGACTTTGTTCTTTATTTTAACATATTGCATGTTCAGGCGGCGACTGCCAAGTTTATTAACAAACACTGGCGGGGAAAGAGTTCAATGTTATTTTATATTGTTCATGAGTATTAAATAACGAAGAAAACGTTAAAATTAACTATTCTTGACATGCAGTAATAAGTGTGTATATATACAATAATCTGGTTTCGAAATGTTTGAATTCATAGTAAAATATTCAAGTTTTGATTCCAGACTTTTTTGGAGCATCAATATCTCCAATTTAGCGTTTTTTCATTCGTCTCCAGGTTCAGAGATTTACAGTCGACTGTTTTTTAATGAGGTGAAGTACTCAGTCTCCGATGAGTTTCAGAGTCATCAAGCTCGTAAACAGATGGAGCCAATATCTCGCTTTCTCAAAATCCACTCCAGGTCTCCACCTCCAGTGTATTAAACAATACGGCCGGCTTCTCTCCCTCTGTCTGTCCGCCCTCATCCCTCGGTCTTTCTTGGGAGGAGTGCCGGGATTGTGGAGGATAGGGGGTGGGGCGGGGGATTTTGAAAGAAAGAAAGAAAGAAAATGGACTTCTGTGTCAGCAACAGCGTCTTTCGTTGCTCTAATCCTCTCGCCCTCAAGCCTCATAGTGCAGTCAAGCGCGCTGTTACATGGCAACAATTAGGAGAGCCGAATCTCAGCACCTGGTCCTCCCCAATCTACGGCAGCTGACTGTACACGCACACACACACAGCCAGGTGGCACCTCTTCAATCACATTAGCTGGCCACTCTAGGGTTAATAAAGACTCGGCCCCCTCCCTGATCTGCCCGCCGCCCAGCCTTTTCACCCCCGGGCAGACACTATGTATTCTTTACAGGCCCAGAAACAATGTTGTTTAAACCCGGTTGAGGAGCTGAAACCTTGTGAGGAGGGCCGGGCCGAATGTTTAAGGGGCCTCCGTGGTTTCTTCAGGTCTATTTATGCCAAGTGTACTGTATAACAATGGGGCCTTTACAGGAACAACAAAACCTAAAACACTACATTTTTACATTTTCCGAAAAAAAGGTAAGTGGTCCTTGCCGTGAAATCTGACTAATAATTTCCCCTGCATTCGTTAAATCCATTGCTAATCATTCTAAGTGGTTACTTTGGTGTTGCTAGGGTACTACTAAAGTGTTACCAAGGTATTCTGAGTGGTTTCTAGGGCCTTACTAATGTTTACAGGGTGGTTTGCAGAGGGTGTTCTGACTGGGTATTCCTCTCAATTTCTGGTAGGTTGCTAGGGTGTTGCTAGGGTGTTCTGACTGGTTGCTAGGCAGTTTCTAACGCATTCTGAGTGGTTTCTTTTCTGGGCAGTTGCTAAGCAATTGCTAAGATGTTCCGAGTGGTTTAGCTGTTGCAAGGGTTGTTGTTTGGATGTTGCTTGGATGTTGATAAGTAGATGTTAATGTGTTCTGATTCTACAGATTTCTGCATGCTGTTCTCTACATTATTCTGGGTGGTGTTTAGGGTGTTGCTAGGCAGTTGCCAATGTGTTCTAAATGGTTTCTGGGCCGTTGCTGGGTGGTTGTTAGGGTGGTGTGGGTAATTACTGATCCAAATCTCTCAGGTAATTGTAGGCTAAGGCTTGCGACCCTCTTTCGTTGTATATCAATGTGTTGGGCAAAAGTCAATAGAAAGATAATTAGGTATTATTATCCATATACCTTATTTTGAGAGATACTAATTTAACTTCATTTAACACAATATTTACATGGCATATTTTAGTATACTTGTAATTCCCAAGTAGACTACTTAGTGACACGGCCGTTGGACGCTATCATTACATAGAAATGTTAAAAGAATAAGCCCACAACCTTTTGTTTGACCTTTTGTTTCCTTTAGTTTTTTGTTTGCTTTCTTTTGTTTCTTGTCATTGCAATGAGAGCAGAGAGAACAGCGCTCATTTTAATAACAATACCAGTAGATTTATATGCTAGGGTCGCGATCAATGGCGATTTGTGAACACAAATTACAAGTGCGAATTAAGCAGCCTCGGCTTGAGCTGAATGCTATCGGCGATCAGAACGCCTGTTGCTTTGTGTTGCAGTAAGACACCACAGAGCCAATGAATGAGTAAACAGACATACAGAAAGATTAATTGAGCAAACGAACCTCTCCTGAATGCTGATTAATTCAAATGGAAACACAAATGAACGGAAAAAAAAACACGGCTAATCCTTCTATCTGCCAGGCTGATGATATTCTACATTTGTCAAGCGCTGAGGGAACTTTAATGGTTTACACAGGCTGTGCGCTCCATTAGACCCATGATTCATTTCTTCACATGCATTTCTACATCCTCTCTGCTCTCCCCTGCCTTTCAGGTCGACACACACACACTGAAGACGCGCCATTTAACACATCAAAGCTTGGGGACTGAAAGCTGCAAGCTGGAGGACAGACAAATGCAGCGCTGCATCACTTTAATCCTCTTTACCCAGCCACGTGTGGAGAGAGAGACAGAGACTAACAAATTCCACTCAGAGTAAACATGCTAAGGTGCATGAGGTGAGGAACGCTCTCTCACACACAGTCGTTTCACGAGCCTTTGAACTATGGAAAGAGGCATAATGCACATGCTATTAATGATTAATCAGTTCCGGTTCAAAATAAGCATTCGTTTTTGGCATGTCAAGACAGAGAGACCATGCATGATGGATGGAGGGAAGGAACGAAGGAATGGAGGAAGGAAGGAAGTAACGAATGAATGGAGGGAGGGAGGAAAAAATGGAGGAAGGAAGGAAGGACAGAGGGAGGGAGGGAGGGATGAAGGAAGGAATGGAGGGAGGGAGGGAGGGAGGAAGGAAGGACGGACAGAGGGAGGGAGGAAGGAAGGAAGGAAGGAAGGAAGAAATGGAGGAAGGAAGGAAGAAATGGAGGAAGAAAGGAAGGAAGAAAGAAATGGAGGAAGGAAGGAAGGAAGGAAGGAATGGAGGAAGGAAGAAAGGAAGGAAGGAATGGAGGGAGAGAGGAAGGACAGAGGGAGGAAGGAAGGGAGGAAAAGAGGGATGAAGGAAGGAAGGAATGGAGGAAGGAAGGAAGTAAGGAAGAAATGGAGGAAGAAAGGAAGTAAAGAAGAAATGGAGGAAGAAAGGAAGGAAGAAAGAAATGGAGGAAGGAAGGAAGGAAGAAATGGAGGAAGGAATGAATGGAGGGAGGGAGGAAGGAATGGAGGGAGGGAAGAAGGAAGGAAGGAAGGAAGGAAGGAAGAAAAGGAGGAAGGAAGGAAGGAAAGAAGGAAGGAAGGAAGAAATGGAGGAAGGAAGGAAGGAAGGAATGGAGGGAGGAAAAGAAGGAGGAAGGAAAGAATGGAGGGAGGGAAGGAGGTAAGAAGGAAGGAAGGAAGGAAGGAAGGAAGGAAGAAATGGAGGAAGGAAGGAAGGAAAGAAGGAAGGAATGGAGGAAGGAAGGAAGGAAGGAAGGAAGAAATGGAGGAAGAAAGGAAGGAAGAAAGAAATGGAGGAAGGAAGGAAGGAAGGAAGAAATGGAGGTAGGAAGGAAGGAAAGAAGGAAGGAATGGAGGAAGGAAGAAAGGAAGAAAGGAAGGAAGGAATGGAGGGAGAGAGGAAGGACAGAGGGAGGGAGGAAAAGAGGGATGAAGGAAGGAAGGAATGGAGGAAGAAAGGAAGGAAGAAAGAAATGGAGGAAGGAAGGAAGGAAGGAAGAAATGGAGGAAGGAAGGAAGGAAGGAAAGAAGGAAGGAAGGAAGAAATGGAGGAAGAAAGGAAGGAAGGAAGGAAGGAAGGAATGGAGGGAGGAAAAGAAGGAGGAAGGAAGGAATGGAGGGAGGGAGGGAGGTAAGAAGGAAGGAAGGAAGGAAGGAAGAAAGGAAGGAAGAAATGGAGGAAGGAAGGAAGGAAAGAAGGAAGGAAGGAAGAAATGGAGGAAGGAAGGAAGAAAGGAAGGAATGGAGGGAGGAAAAGAGGGCAGAAGAAAGGAATGGAGGGAGGGAGGGAGGAAGGAAGAACTGAGAGGGAGGAAGGAAGGAACGAACGAATGGAGGGAGGGAGGGAGGGAGGGAGGAAGGAACAGAGGGAGAAAGGAATGAAGGGAGGAAAAAAGAAAGAAAGGGAGGAGTGGAGGAAGGAAGGAATGGAGGGAAGAAGGAATGAAGGCAGTAATGAAGGAAGTAATGAAGGGAAGGAAGGAAGGAAGAAAGGAAGAAAGAAAGAAAGAAAGAAAGAAAGAAAGAAAGAAAGAAAGAAAGAAAGAAAGAAAGAAAGAAAGAAAGAAAGAAAGAAAGAAAGAAAGAAAGAAAGAAAGAAAGAAAGAAAGAAAGGGAGATATGAAGGGATGAAATATTAGGTACTATTAGCTAAGCCGATACTAATATGTGAGATGAAACCAATGCCGACTGAAGTTTATAAAATCTACTCTTGTGTAATGAAAATCATTATTACTCATATTTATTGAAGCATGTAACTACGCCACCTTAAAATAAAGTGTAACCAAATAAATAAATTAAAAGAATTAATAACAGTCAAATCATAAACATGACCTCAACCACTGGTGTGAGATTAGGCGGGGTTATCGGTTTCTTCACCGAGGGGAAAGTGTTCAGGAAACCTGTACGAAAACAGTCATTATTTTTCACTCCAGTTTGGAAAAATACACAGAAAAAAAAAGCTTTTGAATATCAGTCCTGGATGAAGAAAGACCTTCAGTGTGACCTCAGATGTGTGATGACCTCGGATGACCCCCAGAGCACGGAGTGTGTGGAGATCTCTGCGCTCAGCTCTCGCTAGAAGAAAGACAAGACAATTCATCAAACCGGGAGAAACAGCACTCAGGATATCTGTGAAGAGAAGAGACAGAAGACAGATCAGGTACAAAAGAAACACAGACTTATTGAATTACGCCACACCAGACCAGCAGCATTCACCAGATTAAAAGATTATACATTTAAAACATATTCAGTTCTTCAGCCCAAAACCATCTTTGCTAATGCATGTACATATATGATCACTGACAAAATCTGAGCATCCTTGACATAACAGCGTTTCTTTTAAAAAGGATTTAATTTCTTAACAATAGTTATCTATTGGGTATCATGAACTACAAATGAAGATCGCATTTTTTTTTTTTTGGCAAAATACAAATACTACATGACAAACTAAATTTAATATAGGTCAATACTAATCAATAAACATTTGTTTTTTGAAATAAGTCTGCATTATTGTAAATAGAAATAAGTCTAAGTCATAAATAATGCTGTGTTTATTTAATCAAAAATACAGCAAAATTAAGAATACTGTTATAAAAAAAATCTGCAAAAATAAAAAAACATTATTTTAATTTAAAATAACTTTTTTTATGCTAATATATTGTAAACTGTAATTTATTCCTGTGATTAAAGCTGTATTTTCAGTATCATTACTCCAGTCTTCAGTGTCACATTATATCATTAATCACTCGAATATGATGATTTGCTGCTCAAGAAACATTTATTATAATTATCAATGTGCTGCTTTTACTGTGGATTAATTGATGAATAAAAATTAAGCATTAATTTGAAATAGGATAAATTTAATGCATCCATTTTTTTAATTATTTGAAAAACAAAAACTCTACTGACCTCAAACCTTTGAATATTAGTGTAGGCCTATATATTATTATTCATTGCCGTGTTTGCGCACACTACATCAACAAACGTTCATTTACAGAACCTGAAATGTTAGAAAAATGTACGTGTATAAACCAAAATGAATAAATGCTGCTAGTAACCACGAATCTGATGTTTAGTCACACAAAATGAAGAACCGGAAGAAACACAAAGCATTTGCAGAGCATCCGTCTGAATATAACTCTCACAGGCTTTTGTGCTGATTAAAAATTACTGGAGTACGAGCATCTCCTTCAGTGAACCAGGAACGGGCAACAGCGAATCCATTTCACATCGCTGTGATTTCATTTCCAACCGAGAGAGAGAGAGAGAGAGAGTCCCAGAGGAATAACAGCGCTCCACTGGCAATGACAAGTTTGACAGCTTCAGCCACAGAGACAAAGACAGGACAAAAGTGAATAATGAGTTGTTCACATGAGGGGATTCCTGTGGCTGAAGGTGCCAGCGAGTCAGAGCCACACACACACACACAGGTTCCTCCTCCAGCGAGTCAGAGCCACACACACACACAGGTTCCTCCTCCAGCACCTGATGGTTTCTCCTCCAGCTGCCTTCTTCACCAACATGTCCTCACACGCCATTCCAACATGCTCTACGACACGCCGCCATGCTGTTCCTGACAGCAAACACACACACACCAGACAATTCAGCGCAATCTCTGAACTCCAGCATGAGGGAATAACTCAATCAGACACACTACTTAACTTAGTGCAGTGGAGTAATAGCAGCCCAGCTGTTTTAAACGTGGAAAGTGAAGCTTTCCAGGAATAAATGAGGTGTGTATAGTGTGACAAAAGGCTTTGTTTTTATGTTGCATAAACATAATGCAACCTGAAGCAACAGTCAAACGCATGCCCTTCTCTCAAATGGTGTCCTGGGAGGGCCAATTCATTTAAGCGATTATGGTGCCTAATGAACTGATTCAAAGAAATGATTCAATGGTTTATTTGGGTCTCTGCACAGCATTTTACATGTGCGTTTTGTCAAGAATAATGGGTCCAATTGATATATATATATATATATATAATTGTTAATTTTATAACTAATTATTGAAAAGTAGCTGAAATAAAATTAAATATAAATATTAAATGAAAACCTTTGAACTTAAAATATCCACCTGTGGTGAAAATGAAGGTTTTAATGTTGTTTATATGTCTATGTGGTGTTTTTAATATGCATTACCGTGTGTAAATTGATAAGTCGACAGCATTGCTGAGTATTTTCGCCTTAATACTGCAGTGAAAAAAAACACGGTTTGAAATCCCTGGTGTTTTTGACGTCACAAACTTCCTTGTAACCAATCACAGGTCAACGTGTGAACGTCAGCGAGTGGATCTCTGAGCTGAGTGAGTGAGTGGAGGCGTTGCTCATTTGCATATTCATAGAACTGCGTATATTAAATGAGGCAAGGGTGTAGACAGAGTTACATTCAAGCTATTTTGAGAAATGAAGACATACATTTTCAAGAAAAAACATTTAAATTAGGGCTGTCAAACGATTAATCATGATTAATCGCATCCAAAATAAAAGTTTGTGTTTACGTAATATATGTGGGTGCACTGTGTATAATTATTTTATATATATAAATACACACGCATGGATATTTAAGAAAAAAATATTATTTATATATATATATAAATCTATAATCTATTTGGATGCGATTAATCGCAATTAACTTTTGCACAGCCCTATTATTTATATATAAAATATTTATATTTATATATAATATAAATTATATTTAAGAAAAAAATATTATTTATAAATAAAATATATATATTTATATATAATATAAATTATATATATATATATATATATATATATATATATATATATATATATACAGTATATACATGAAAATATTTCTTAAATATATACAAGCATGTGTGCATATACAAAATAATTATACACAGTGCACCCACATATATTACGTAAACACAAACTTTTATTTTGGATGCGATTAATCGCGATTAATCGTTTGACAGCCCTAATTTAAATACATAATTTTGGTGTTAAGGGATAAAATTATTGACTACAGAGGGACTTCAATTTTTTTATAAATGCCTTGGCAAATAACTAAAACATACAATAAGTTGTAAAATAAATTCAAGCTAAATAGAAATATATAAATGACAAAAGCACATATCAAAATTACTCAAACTAAAATATATAAATAAATACTAATAACACTGCCTGCTTGAGTTTAATATGCAACTATAAGTTGATTTTAAGGTCAATTCCTCCAAAAAGCGTAACCAAAACATGGTTCTGCTTGTTTAAACTTTAACCACTGGCGTGTGTTTTGGTCTGTTGGTCCGACCAAAGGAAGACGTGATTGAAAACAATAATAATTTTGCCTATCTAGTAATGCTAAAGAAATTACACGTTTAAAAAAAAATGCTTTAACCTAATTCGCAACTTTTATCATTTTCAAAGTCAACTACTGAGCCTCCCAAGATAAAAGCTATAAAGCAGCAAACTCGGGACGGGATGCGGGCTCTTGTCCAGGGAGAAATCAGTGCTAATTTGAAAATTGGCCCCGGTTCAGATGGACTGACACGTATCTCGGCTGATCCGTCCTTCCTCGTGGACTGCGTGTTACTTCATACAGGGGATTTTCCACTTAGCCGAGTGGATTTCGCATCATTTCTTGACGGTTTGCTTTGTTTGTGTGAGGTGAGCGGACGTGCGTCTACGAGAGACACTAATCTCCGTCTCATCAGAGCGACGGGTGCGAGGCATTTATGGCAGATGTCCATTAGCAGCCGATCAGCAGGGTCTGTCTCCACAGGGGCCGTGACAGGTCTGAGTGTGTGTGTGTGTGTGTGTGAGAGAGAGAGAGTGTATTACGGATCCGGCTCTGTGCTGGTCCTGTGGAGTTCTCCCTGGTCTCGGACACAAGCTGCCGTCCTCCCCCCCGCCTCCGCCTCTGAGATCAGGAACCCACTTATCCAGCCACGCCATTGTCTAGTGTGTCCACACACATCTGTTATGCTTGGGCAACACCAACGCTGACAGACAGTCCATTGTTCCTGTGGCCGGTAGGAGGACGCAGTCACAGTTTGGGGTAATTGCCGCTCCTAATTAGTTTAAGACACACACACAAAATTGCTTTTTAATTAAAAGCCATCCAGCCTCTAATGAGCAATCAGTATCAACCAATGAAAAGAGAAGACGCACGCACAATCACAGTGGGATGAAGCATAGTGTAGAATGCGCATGCAAACGTAACCGCCAGGCATTCCAGTCGGTTGCCAGGGTGTTGCTATGCAAGTATTGTGTTGCTACGGGTGGCTCTCTCTAAAAACATCTCCTAAAGAGATAGATCACCGAAAAATAAAAATTCTGTTAACATGTGCTCATGTTGTTCCAAGTTTCTTTCTTCCGTTGAACACAAAAAGATATTGTGAAGAATGTGGGTAACCAGGAAGTTGACGGCAGCCATTGACTTTCATATAGGCAGGGAGCCAAAGTCTCAAAAATGGGTTATGATGTCATAACTTAAGGGAATAGTTGATTGCCAATGAAGTAAAGATGAAAATAGTGGAAAAAAGTGAAAAAAAACGCCTGTTTTTTGCATTAAATTGATGCGAAATCATGTAGAAATGTGTTTTAAGAATTATTTTTTCAGTGGATGTTGTCCGCACATGTCTTCTGTGTATCTAGAATGCATTTATTGAGAACCTACCCAACCCACTGAGGATTTGATGAAAAAAATAATTTCACATTTTCCTGATAAAAAATAAAGGGTGCGTACACTAAAATGTTTTTTGGGATATTTCCGGCAGAGCAGACCCTCTAATTATTTGTTCTTAGGGTCAAAGTTAACAGAAAAAACACACAAAAAAAAGTATGGCAGACCATGTCAGGTTCAACCCATTTTATAAAGCTTTTGAGAATTTGGCTCCCCGACTAATAGTATTTTTTTCCTTACAATGGAAGTCAATGGCTGTTCGGTCACCAATACTCTTCTAAATATCTTCTTTTGTGGGTTTGGAACAACTTGAGGATAAGTAAAACTTTCATTTTTTGGGTAACTATCCCATCTTTTAAAGAACAGATCTTTAAAAAAAAAAACATC